AGCTTGAAAAGAAAAACAAGAAACTTAAGATAGTGAGAAAACTGTCCTGTAGGAAATAGAGCTGCTTTATTTTGGGTGGATCCAAAGGGAAGACTGAAGTTGGGTTGAAATTACAAGGAAGCAAATTTTGGCCTGGCTAGATGGTTGTGTGTAGAAGTGAATGATTGGGTTGCCTTGTGATAACTATATAGACGTTTGTCCCTTTGCTTGGAAATGGTTATGAGAGAGACTTGGTGACATATGTTGTATATATGGTAGAAAGATTGGATAAGAGAACTGTTGAAACCCTTTCTAACTTGAAGATGTAATTTTAAATAATCATGAATGAAGAAATCACCCAACAGAGAAAGTGTGAAAATGATTATTCATTAAAATGACCTGGAAACCTAATACTCTGTTTGTTAAAAATGTGTGTGACTTTTAATGAACAGTGCAGGGGAAAAAAACAGCATATGGCTGCCTTTTGTACTTTCTACGTTGTGTAAACCTCACAGTACCCTGGGAGATAGTTGCTGTTTTTCTCTGCTTTTATGAAGGTAGATACCAAAGCATAGAAAGGTGAAAACCATGCAGCCAATTAGGGAAGTAGATACCGAGCCCAGCTCTTCTCTGTCAAAGCCTCCTGTGTTTTAATCTCATCTGATACTGTAGCATTTGCAAGTTATTGATGAAAGAAATTGACTTTACTCCCTTTGCCTAGCAAGGGTAAAGAATTGGTGATTTTTCTCTGCCTGAATGCATCATATACTGTAAAGTATTGGCTATGAAGGGAAGAATCGTGACCTGAGTATCTTGTATGTAGCTAATCAGATGGTTGGTTGTGTGAACTTTCTGGAGAGCGGTTTCAGTGTGCCCTTCAGTTTATACCCTTTGATTTGATGGTGTCATCCACAGGGAGTTGTGCTGCCAACCCAAAGGCTGAGCCTCCCTGGTGATTTCAATGTCCCAGTAGCTTCAAGGAAGAAAGATGGGCAGTCTCCTCCCTGTGATTTTACTGCCTCAGAACCCCAGAGGAGGCTGTGTTAGCTGTGAGTTGGTTCTGACTCAAGGGCAGTGAGCTAATAGTTTATTTAAGGAAAGAATAAGAATTCACTTAAATTGTTGTACAGAATATACTTAACACAATGCCAATTTAAAAATATAATCTAGGATATAAATTTCCCATTCTTTTTTAAAGAACAGAAAGCACGTCTCACAACAAGATAATTGTGGTGGCACAGTGGTTAAAACACTTTGCTGCCAACTGAAAGATCAGGGGTTCTAAACCATCAGCTGGTCTGTGTGTGACATTCTGCCTCTGTAAAGATTTCAGGATTGGAGACAGACCCTGAGGGACAGTTCTGTCCTGTCCTATAGAGTTGTTGTGACAGACTTGTTTATGGGGCATCAGAGTGGTTAATAAAAGAAGCGTTTACAAAGATGTGCGCTCTGGTGGTGCAATCCAAAGGGAGTTGCTCTACTGACCCAAAAGCCAAACCTCTGGAGATTCAAACCCATCCTTGTTTCAGAGGGAGGATTCCTGTGTGATTTACGGCGTCTCAAAAGGTACTGAACATCCAATGGACTGCCCAGAAGAACAGACAAGTCTGTCTTGGAGAAGTGGGACCTGGGTGCCCCTGAGCAACAAGGAGGGTGAAATGCCTTCTCACGTCCTTTGGGTATGTGATTGGGAGGGAACAGTCCTTGGCAAAAGACATCATGCTGGGAAAGGTGGGAGGTCAGAGAAAGAGAAGCCGACTCTCCAGAAGATGGGATTGAACACAGTGACTATGATGTAGGTCCAAGCAGACCAGAGATAGCGCAGGATAGGGCAGGGTTTGCGTCTGTTGTTCATAGGGTCGCTGTGAGCTGTAGTTATTTGATGACACCTATCAACAAGCACAACAAAAATCTCCTGGAGGCTCAGCTCTGAGTTAGGAAGTATGACTTGGTTCTGACTTGACGGCAATGAGTTTAAGAGCAGGTTACAAGAAAAATTGTAAGGAATAACGTAGCATCTTGGGTCTAGAAACAGCTTAGGTTTAAAGAGTTGATGCATAAGAAGAGTCATGGAGAGAGGGACACTTTTGAGAGGAGTCATGATGCCTTCAGCAGAGGTGCGTGTCAGCCCAAGAAACGGAGCTAGAGGAAGAAATACTTGTCATCTGTTCTCTTCCATCAGGTTTCCTTCCAGGCTTTCCTAATTGTCCAGTTCATTCTGATACTAGAAGGCAAAATCAGGCTTCTGGGGCTCAGCATAGTAGAGCAGGATGGCGATGTAGATCTAGGAAGGAAACGTATGATATATTGAGAGCACTATGATAGAAAAGGGATATTGTATTAAAGAAGTGTGATAGTCTTTACCCTCATAGAGTGGCTCCTTATGGGGAATTCAGGATAATATCAACAATACCCATAGTAATGATGAGATATATATATATATATATATCTCATTATGCTAATGGACATATGAGATTCCATGGATTCATGGAAATTTCCCTCATATCTAGGGAAGAGGAAAAAAACCCCAAAAGAAGTGATTGTTAAAGCTGCAATAGAAATGAGAGTTAGTTATGTGGAGGAGAGGGGGTGTCTGTGAAGATGGAGAGGATGTTTCCGGCAGATGGAATAGCTTCTGGAGAAGCTTTAAGGTCAGAGACAGTGTAAAAATTGAATGTTGTTGAACATGCCAGCATTTTCATCACAGATTTTAAAGTGTTAACTGTAAATGAGGCAGCACAGTGCACTTGTCGTGAGGTGACATTGATTCGGCTCTGACTCAGTGACGCTGTGTACCTCAGAGAGAAACTTTTCCCAATTCTGTTTTGTCTTCACAGTCTCTGCTGTGCTTTTAAGCTCGTTGTTACAGGTACTGTGTTAATCTGTCTTGTTGAAGATCTTCCTCTCTCTTGCTGACTCTGTCCTTTTCCAATCATAGTATCTTTCTCCAGGGACTGGCCCCTCCAGATTACTGTAGAGTAGTTCTAAGCAGGCCAGTGGCCTGCTGAATGTGTGTTTTATTTCTCAATAGGGGATCCTGTAAATGAGTGGAGTGCCATTGCAGTTTCGGAAATGATGGTGTCCTGAAGTAGAGTGATAACAGTAGGAACTGAGATAGGAACAGTTCCAAGTGAGATTTATGATATAGATTAAGAAATGTGAACCAAACCTGTGGCTAGTGAGTGGCTTTCTAGACATGGTGACTCTTCAGGACAGAGTAAAACTGGCTCATAGGGTTTCCGAAGCTGTAACCTTCACAGATAAAGACCACCATGTCTTTCTCTTGTAGCTGGAGGGTTCAAATTGCCCACCTGTGGGTTAGTAGCCAAGCTTTTAACCCACTTCACCCCCAGGGTTTCTTAAACTGCTACCATTTAATCAATTCCAGCTCAGAGTGACCTGGAGGACAGAATTGAACTGCCCTTTAGAGTTTCCAAAGCTGTAAATGTTTATGGGAGCAAGAATGCCTCATCTTTCCTCTGTGGAACAGCTGCTGGATTCAAGCTGCTTTTAGCTGTAGAATGTCTTGCCCACTGTGCCACCACAGCTCCTTATAGAATAAAGAAGATGTTAAGTGATGAAAAGTGGGTGGAAAGGGAATTGTTTGTGGATCATCTTGAGGACTAGGTCTTGAGCCTGTGTGTGTGGTTTGAAAATTATTTTTAATAATTATATGCCAGTTCAATATTTAGGACAGAAAGATTTTAAAAATGTTATTCTCTTACTGTATTTTAGTGTCAGCTTCAGATATAAAACATCTCAAAATTATCTGCTCTCAGAGAGAACAAAAAGAAATTTAAATTTTAAAATATTTTTCTAGAGCTTTCTTTATTTTTGTATAACATGTAATCTTTGTTTTTGGAAGCAGGGGAGGCATCCACTTCCTAAACAACATTCTTTTGGAAACTATGAATTTAGAGAAATGATTGTTATAGAATAGGGTTCAGGTCTTTTGTTCATAGGGTTACTATGAGTCATATTCGACTCAACAACAACAACAATCTTTGTTTACAGTTTACTTTCTCAGCTTTGTACTGGTGAATTACCTTTATCCAAATTCTCCCTACAATCCTTGGCTCCAGATTTCATTTCCTCCAGCTAGTAACTATTAACCATATACAGTCAGGACCGCAAGAGATGAATCCTCTTTGCAGTGGAGAAGAATGTAGAACAGAACTTCAAATTCTAAAAAAAAATAAAGAAATCTAGAATTGCCAGACCTATTGAGATTGATGCCCTGAAATACTTTTCAAACCTTGAGCCAAAGCTACTCATTCCCCCAAATCATATGTTAGCACAATAGCAGGTTAGCTCGTACAAAATGTCACTGTGATCAACAATTATTTTGTGGCATAGTGAGAAAGTGGGGGCAGAGGGAGACAAGGATAATAGGACAGCACATCTGGAACAGAAGAATGTTGACCCAATGCACTGAATATAACCAGTGTCATTGTAAAATATGCATGGAAATTGTTGAATAGGATTCTGTTTTATAGTGTATATTTTCAACAAAAATTCTTTTTTAGTTACAAAGGCAGTCCAATACTTTGTATGATATCTGAGTACTTAGTATCTTTTCAACAAGTACCTATATTAAAATACATGATTGTGTTTTAAATATAACTAGGTCTTGGGAAAGAATTTTCTCTGCTGCTGGAAAGACTTCTTGATTTATCTTTTTACTATAACAGATTTGGGTGGAGGGATGGAGAGTAAAGGAAATGGGGAAGATCTGGTAGAACTCTGGAAAGATAGGCTAATTGTGGACATAGTATAATGGTGATTAATTTTATAAAACATAAAGAGTGGGAGTGGTTGTACGAAACACAGTGCGAATGAGGGATAATGTGAAACACAACATATATGAACTTTGTATGTAAACCAATATAAAATAAATTTTTTTAAAAACCAAAAATGTTGAAATCCTAAAAAGCCCAACCAGATTTGTGATATTTATGCTTAGAGGTGATTTCTCTAAGAGAACTTGATTCTCTCCTAACTTTGTGTTTTCTGGAATGCAGTGAGTGATGGATTGGAACTGAGACCCAAGTATAAAGGAATTTTACATTGTTTGACTACTATTTGGAAACATGATGGAATACGTGGACTTTACCAAGGAGTCACGCCAAATGTATGGGGTGCAGGTTTATCCTGGGGACTCTACTTCCTCTTGTGAGTAGATCTGGAGACTTTTAATACTACTAAATAAAAATAAAATAAAAATTGAATGAACTCTAGTGTGTCTGAGATGATGAGGATGGGACGGAATAGAGCAGGGTTCAGGTTGGTTTTTTTTTTGTTTTTTGTTTTTT